CTTAATTGAATCATATCTTAAATACCTGGAAAGAAAATTTCAAAGGAAAAATGAGTTGACAAAACTAATTTAATTCAACTAAATCCAAACCAACACTTGAACATAATTCGTCCTTTCGCAATAGAAAGCACTTTCAGGCCCTTACTTGCTGAAAACATTTTAAACAATTAGAAACATGTAATTTCTTTGATTGTTATTTTATTTCCCAGTGTCAAGATATTTTTCCAAGTATTTTGCTTTTCAAATTGTTAAATGATTGTGGGCTGATATTTATTACATGTAATATATATATATTGAAACACTTTTAATGTTAATAGAAAAAGAAATATATCACATCACATGGGTATCAATGTTTTATATTTTAGAGGACACTCCAAAACAAGAGTATATAATTGAGAGACAATTGTTAAGTGTAGTAGATGTGTGAGTAAGACGCTTGAAGTTGGTTGAAAATACCATCCTGCTTTCTATTAAAATTATGGGAAAATACAAAATTTGCTTGAAATTAAACAATGCCTTCAAGAATTCCATACTTATTTTCATAACAATTAGGAAAAATATATTTCAAAGTAAAAAGTTTTGATGAAGTGTACAAAGGAAGTAATTATACACATTGCATACAATCCACGTAAATTACCCAAAACAGATGTCAAATAAGAAAAAATTAGCCCCTACTGCATCAGTCATGCAGTAGGTCAATACAGTTAACTTCACTTATAACGAACACGGTTATAAAAACTTCCGGTTATAAGGAAATTTATCTTTGCCCGAATTTTGTCCCTCTTTATTTAATATAAAATATACGGTTATAGCGATACACGGTTTTATAAGGAATTTATCGCTTATAAGGAACTCATTTCGTAGTCCCAATTTAGTAAAAAGTACAAAAAAATTACACTTTATAGCGAACTCCAAAATATCGCTATCCGTAAATAGACCCACATTTTCAAACTTTCGTTTTCTTTTGGAACGGATTAAACTCGCCCAAATGTACCGTGTATTGTTGTCTGTAACTTCAATACAGCTGTTGAAAATGAATTTGTATAGCAGTAACGTAATAATTTTCTATTTAGGATATTTTTAGTTCTTGTCACCAAAGATTAAACGGTTATTCCTTTAATTGGTATTATTTCTTTTTCTTTAACAGGTTTGCTCGAGTAAAATTATTTATAATTCGGTTTCTTCATAACAACGCATGCTTTGCTAATGATACCATTGAAAACTACAAAGTACGGGTTTGAATTTAAAATAAAAAGAAAATCTTATAGCTTTCCACTAAGTAAAAGTCCAGCCCTTAAAAAATTTAATGAGAAGATATTCAATATAAAAAAAGGAAAAATGGAACATCATGGGTTTATTCTTAATCAGGGAAAAGTAACAAAAAAGCACTGAAGTTTAGAAACAAAACATTATTATTTTTATGAGAAATTGGGAAAAAGAGGAGTAAAACTAAAACTGAAATAGCGAAGGAATTTCAAATTTCCAAAATTTACGCTCTCGGGTAATTGTGTCTAAAAAAGAAATAAATGACTATTTTCCCCTTATCAAATGCTCCTTCAAAATGGTTGGACCGATGGTTTAAAAATTTCTGATAACAAGGAAACTAATTCGCTATATTCTTATAAGGAACTGATATAAGGAAACAGATTTGGAATGTCCCAATGGTTTAGTTTATAAAAGCGAAGTTACGTATTTTGGCGTTATTTCATTTTAAATGGTACTCTGTCAAGTCCTTGTAATAGTGTTGTGTAATAAAAGTGAAATTCTGGGTTTTGTTATTAAAAGGATATACTCTAAGCAAGTCATTGTAATAGGAATAATGCTTAATAATGAAAGTTCTGGGTTTTATTTGGGAAAGATAAAACCCCAATCAATCAGAAGTATATCACTTATGACAATTGTTAAACAAACTTTGTATGAACCCTTTTTTGTGGCTTACTTTTAAAGTTTATGGATCCTTAAATTTCCCTTAAAAAGTTGTACATTGCGTATTTTTAAGCATTATTTCCTTGGGATAATAAACTGCGTTAAAAAAAAATAAATTTTCAACCGCGGGTTTATAATTTAAGCTGTAACTTCTTTTGTTTTTTTGTTTTTGCACAGTAGATGCCTATCTGTTGAATTTGTCTGACCTCATTTTCTTTACGGGGGTCTGTTTCCAACTTGCCTTTACAACATATTTATCCAAAAATAACTGAAATTTGTCTCTTGGCAGATTAAAAAAAATTGCATTTGAAGATCTCTTTGAAAAAGTAAAATGTCCATGTCTCGGGTTCATATATAGTTTTTAAAATTGTCTTTTGAGTTGTCTTATAGCAATAAAAAGTAGACTTTAAAACCCCACCCTAGCCTGTGCCTGAAATTTCTGACAGACTGATCCTATTCATTAAAATAACTATTGCACTGATCCTTTCATTTGAATTCAGTATGGGACTGATTTTCTGCCTCCTTGGGAAAATTTACTATTGGAATGTCCCTGTCCCTATAGTAATTCAAATGGATAGATCCTGTCCCTGAAATTACTAATGAAATGATACTGTTACTGAAATTACTGATTGCCTGATCCTGTCCCTGAAATAATTAATGGAATGATCATATGCCTGAAATAATTGATGGATTGAAACTGTCCCTGAGATTATTAAAAGACTGATCCTGTTCCTGAAATAACAAATGGACTGATCCTGTCTCTGAAATAACTAATAGCTTTATACTGTTCCTGATCCTGTCCAAGAAGTAATTTAAATGGACTGAAATTACTTGTAGACTGATTCTGTCCCTGAAATTACAAATAGACTGATCCTGTTCCTGAAATGACTGATGGCCTGATCCTTTTCCTGAAATTACTTATGAACTGATCATGTCCCTGAAATAACTTATGGACTTATCTTGTCCCTGAAATAACTAATGGACTGATCCTGTCCCTGAAATAACTAATGGACTGATCAAGTTCCTGAAATAACTAATGGACTGATCATGTACCTGAAATAACTAATGGACTGATCCTGTCCCTGAAATAACTAATGGACTGATTCTGTTCCTGAAATTACTAATGGATGGATCATGTCCCTGAAATAACTAATGGACTGATCCTGTCCCTGAAATAACTAATGGACTGATTCTGTTCCTGAAATTACTAATGAACTGGTAATAACTAATGGATTGATCCATTCCTGAAATAACGATTGAACTGATGATGTCCATAACTAATGGGCTGATCATGTCCCGGAAATAACTGATGGACTGATGATGTCAATGATTTAATTAATGAACTGTTACTGTCCCTTAAAGAACGAATGAACTGATCCTGTCCCTGAAATAACTAATGAACTGGTCCTGTCTCTGAAATAACTAATGGATTGATCCCGTTCCTGATATAATTAATGAACTGATCCTGTTCCTGAAATTACTAACAGACTGATCCTGTCACTTAAATTGCTGCTGGAATGATCATGTCCCTGAAATTACTAATGAACTGATCCTGTTCCTGAATTAACTAATGGACTGATCATGTCCCTGAAATTACTAATGGTCTTATCCTGTTCCTGAACTAACTATTGGACTGATCCTGTTCCTGAAATAACTAATAAACTGATCCTGTCCCTGAAATAATTATTAAACTGATCCTGTCCCTGAAATTACTATTGGACTGACCCTGTTCCTGAAATTACTAATATACTGATCCTGTCAAAAAACTGATCCTGTTGCTGAAATTACAAGTGGACTGATAGTGTTCCTGAAATAACTAATGGACTGATCCTGTCCCTGAAATAATTAATGGACTGATTCTGTCTCTGAAATTACTAATATACCTATCCTGTCAAAAACTGATCCTGTCCCTGAAATAACTAATGGACTGATTCTGTTCCTGAAATTACTAATGGATGGATCATGTCCCTGAAATAACTAATGGACTGATCCTGTCCCTGAAATAACTAATGGACTGATTCTGTTCCTGAAATAACTAATGGATTGATCATGTCCCTGAAATAACTAATGGACTGATTCTGTTCCTGAAATTACTAATGAACTGATCCTGTTCCTGAATTAACTAATGGACTGATCATGTCCCTGAAATTACTAATGGTCTTATCCTGTTCCTGAACTAACTATTGGACTGATCCTGTTCCTGAAATAACTAATAAACTGATCCTGTCCCTGAAATAATAAATAAACTGATCCTGTCCCTGAAATTACTATTGGACTGACCCTGTTCCTTAAATTACTAATATACTGATCCTGTCAAAAACTGATCCTGTTGCTGAAATTACAAGTGGACTGATAGTGTTCCTGAAATAACTAATGGACTGATCCTGTCCCTGAAATAATTAATGGACTGATTCTGTCTCTGAAATTACTAATATACTGATCCTGTCAAAAACTGATCCTGTTCCTGAAATTACAAGTGGACTGATCCTGTTTCTGAAATAACTAATGAACTGATCATGTCCCAGAAATAATTAATGAACTGATCCTGTCCCTGAAATTACTAATGGACAGATCCTGTTACTGAAATAACTAATGGACAGATCCTGTCCCTGAAATAACTAATGGTATGATCCTGTTCCTGAAATAACTAATAGAATGATCATGTCCCAGAAATAACTAATAGAATGATCATGTCCCTGAAAAAACTAATGGAATGATTATGTCCCTGAAATTACTAATGGACTGATCCTGTTACTGAAATTACTAATAGAAAGATCCTTCATGGCAAAGTCAGCCAGGTGAGTTTAGTTAAATTCAAGGGTGCTACATGTTTGTCACTGAAAATTTGTTTGAGGACAGTTTTTCTTCGTATTTAAACAATTTATGTAGTAGGTTTAATTGTTTAACTTTAACGCCCCTATATTTATGTTATGGACTTTACTTGCTACAATTTTGGAACTGTTCATTGTTATTTAAAGGGGGATCAGTATGTAAAACCTAAAATTACCAGACTATACTGGTTGAGTAATTATGTCACAGATTAAAGTGTTTCGGTATGTTGGCAATGATACAGAATGACAAAACAAGTTGTAAGTTACTGCAAATATATGATTGAATTATTGAAACAGTCTATTAACGGTTCAAGGGAGCTGAACAGGGTTAACAATTTCCTCTGTGCATGAATTCTACACTACTCAAGGGGATTTCAACCAAGCTTTCGCATAAGTATTGTGATTAAGTGCCCTGGAAAATACTGTAAGGGTTTTGTCATTTTATCATGTTTTTGCAGAATTTATTGTCTTCATGTTTTTAAATTTTCCACATTTGCGAATATGACAGAATAATGTAATTTTATCACCAATCATCACGTACCCGTGCTGCTTTTGCGACTCCGTAAAAATGGTATTGCACGGCTGTACATGTATTTTGAATTTGCATCATTTGCGATGCATTAAGATGCATTAAATGTATTAGTGTTATACCAAAGTCAATGAAAATTTACTTGCGTAATATAATTTTATTTAACTCCTTCAATAAATTCAGTATTAAACTTAGGCTCATTCAATATCCTCTAGTCATTTCTTCTAAATTTCTTTTACATATATGTGTTTTTCAGGCTGTAGAGAACTTCACACGTTCATGTGCTGGATACTGTGTAGCCACATATGTGTTAGGTGTATGTGACAGGCATAATGATAATATTATGGTGAAACAAACGGGCCACCTGTTTCATATAGACTTTAATAAAATACTTGGCGATGCTCAGATGTTTGGAAATATTAAGAGGTTAGTATACTAATAAAGTTGTGTTGACTTAAAATGAGCCGTGTCACGACAAAACCAACATAGTGCGATTGTGACCAGCATGGATCCAGACCAGCCTGCGCATCTGTGCAGTCTGATCAGGATCCATGCTGTTCGCTAACCAACTCTATTACAAGTAGAGAAACTGATAGCGAACTGTATAGATCCTGATCAGACTGCGCGGATGCACAGGCTGGTCTGGATCCATTCTCTAGGCAAACCCACTATATTGGTTTTGTCGTGACACGGCTCAAATATTTTGAAATTATCTTGCATTTTATGTTAATTGTTTCAAAATTTGAAAAGCCTTCAAAAATTTGAATAAACTGGAATTTAAACGGCTTGAAATTTTAATATTTTATAATTTCAGTGATTTTGATTAGCATAATTTTCTAAATATTACTATATGGCTTTCCCAAATTATTAAGCTATCCAAGTTGACAGGATAAGGAATTAGGAGTTTCCTTCATAAGATGCTGGAAAACTATCTACATAAGTTGCTGTAATGAGAAAATTTCAAGTAACATAAGTCTGACTTGCTTTTTAGCTCACCTGAGCATATGCTCAGGGTGAGCTATTAGGATCACTCTTCGTCCGTCGTCTGTCGTACGTGGTCCGTTGTCCGTTCACACTTTTAAAACGACATCTCCTCTGAAACCATAAGGCAGATAATAATGAAACTTCACAGGGATGTTCCTTGTGTGAAGCCTTAACAAAAGAGTTCAAAGAATTCCATTCCATGCAGAATTCTGGTTGCCATGGCAACCGAAAGAAAAAACTTTAAATATCTTCTTTTAAAAAACCCAAAGAGCTAAAGCTTAGATATTTGGCATGAAACATCTTCTAGTAAGTGTCTACCAAGTTTGTTCAAATAAAAGCCCTGGGGTCAAAATTGGCCCCGCCCCAGGGGGTCATTGATTTTCCCTATATGCATATAGTAAAAACTTAAAAAATCTTCTTTTAAAGAACTCAAAGAGCTAGAGCTAAGATATTTAGCATGAAACATGTTCTATTGGGTGTCTACCAAGTTTGTTCAAATAAAAGCCCTGGGGTCAAAATTGGCCCCGCCCCAGGGGGTAATTGATTTTCCCTATATGCATATAGTAAACTTAAAAAAAATTCTTTTAAAGAACCCAAAGAGCTAGAGCTAAGATATTTATCATGAAACATGTTCTAATGGGTGTCTATCAAGTTTCTTTAAATAAAAGCCCTGAGGTCAAAATGGCCCGGCCCCAGGGGGTAATTTTTCCCTTTATGCATTTAGTAAAAACTTTAAAATTCTTCTGTTAAAAAACCTAAAGAGCTAGAGCTAAGATATTTAGCATGAAACATCTTCTAATGAGTGTTTTCCAAGTTTGTTCAAATAAACGCCCTGGGTCAAAATTGGCCCCGCCCCAGGGGGTCATTGTTTTTCTTTATAAAAATCTTCTTCTAAAGAAGTCAAAGAGCTAGAGCTAAGATATTTAGCATGAAACATGTTGTTATGGGTGTCTACCAAGTTTGTTCAAATAATAGCCCTGGGGTCAAAATTGGACCCGCCCCAGGGGGTCATTGATTTTCCTTATATGTGTATAGCAAAAAATTAAAAAATCTTCTTTGAAAAAACCCAAATAGCTAGAGTTTAGATATCAAGCATGAAACATCTTCTAGTAAGTGTACAAAGTTTGTTAAGATAAAAGCCCTCTGGTCAAAATTGGCCCTGCCCCGGGTGTCATTGATTTTCCTTATATGTGTATAGCAAAAACTTAAAAATCTTCTTTGAAAAAACCCAAATAGCTAGAGTTTAGATATAAAGCATGAAACATCTTCTAGTAAGTGTCTACAAAATTTGTTCAAATTAAAGCCCTGGGGTCAAAACTGGCCCCGCCCCAGGGTGTCATTGTTTTTAAACTATATGTGTATAGTAAACTTAAAAAATCTTCTTTTAAAAAACCCAATGAGCTAGAGCTTAGATGTTTAGCATGAAACATCTTCTTATGGGTGTCTACCAAGTTTGTTCAAATATAAGCCCTTGGGTTAAAATTGGCTCTGTCATGGGTGGGGGGGGGATCATTATTTTTCATTATATGTGTGTAGTAAAAACTTAACATCATAAAACATCTTCTAATGGGTGTCGTGTCTTCCAAGTTTGTTAAAATGAAAGCCCTTGGGTTTAAACTGGCCCCACTCCGGGGGGCCTATATACAGGTGAGCGACTTCAGGGCCATCATGGCCCTCATGTTTATGAGAATTATGCCTGTTTTCAACTTTGGAATTTTCATATCCATTTTAAAGCAGCACACCTCCATGTTAATTTTCATGAAAATTTTGGAAATGAATTTAAAAGTAAAATATTGTGAGAAGAACAAAAAAAAAGTAATTTACATATTGTAATCGGCACTTACAATGCAAGAAAATTTCCAAAAAGTGGTCAACATATGCAAAAACAGCCCTTACTGCGTTAGTAACGCAGTAGAAATAATTATGGTGGTAAAATACTGCAAATTCAGTCATTAACCACACATAACATGTAAAAAAAACTTTGATCTTGAATTATTTTACCTTTCTTAAAATTTTAGTTCATTTTTCTCAAACTTGATTTTTTTGAAATATTTCGGCTCATTTGGAGGTGTGCATCTTTAAGGTGTCTGCCCGTTTATCTCAAAAGGGAGAGCATTGGATGAGTAATACAGGGGTGTCTGGTAAGATACTTGATCAAGACGTAATTTCTGTGTTACAATTGTTCTCTGACATGGAGTCTAATGGGCACTGTCTCTCACCGTTGATTGAGAAATCATGTGGAATTAGAAGTCTGTAACTTTGGTAGAAATTGGTAATTACTGGTTAGTTATCCAGGAAAGTGAGTAAGGTGGAATGACCTCTCTAATGTGAGCAAAAGAATGTATTAAAATTTGGAGAAAAAATCAGAAAAGACACACAAACATTTATTATGTGTAAGACAAAGCAAAACATACTCAACTAAGGCATGAAGTAATATTTTTTTAGTGTAAAAGACATTTTTTATTTTATTTGCAGATCAAACTTCTACTATCAGTATCTTTGTGTTTTTGTTTTCAGAGATCGTGTAAAGTTTGTGTTGACATCAGATATGGCATATGTGATAAATGATGGAGATCGGCAAAGCGACCGGTTCCAACATTTCATAGATATGTGTGTTAAAGCATTTAATATATTACGTAGACATGCCAACTTGTTCATCAATTTATTCTCATTGGTAAGTTGTGGTAATATCAATTTGTTATAAATATCACTGAGGAATAAATGAATAAGAAATATATCTCACTTAGGAATGGGGGAATATGAATATATCCTACTGAAGAATGAGGGAATAAGAAATATATATCACTGAGGAAAATATATCACTGAGGAATAAGGGAATAAAAACATATCCTACTGAACAATGAGGGAATAAGAAATATATATCACTGAGGAAAAAGGGAATAAGAAATATATCCTAGTGAAGAATGAGGGAATAAGAAATATATATCACTGAGGAATGAGGGAATAAGACATACAGGTATGTATCATAGAGGAATGAGTAAGGACTATATTTCACTGAGGAATGAGTAAATATATAAGTAATATCTCACTGATGATGAGGTATGTTTCTATTTTCTTGGATTCTGTAATGCTGTTGATTCTTACATGGTCCGGATACAGGAAAATGCCCTCTAGAACCCAAATCCTTTTCAATTATATTTGAGTTATCAAGCAAAGTTTGAATAAGAAAGATATCCAAGCTACATTATGGAAGTTTATTGGTACTACTTAGGTGCCTGCTTATGCCTGTTGAAAAATATGTCAGAACAAAAAAAAATCAAAAAAAAAATCACAATAAACCCCAAACAAAATAGTGATTTTTAAACTAACTAAAATTTTGACTGTGGTTGCTGCTGTGTGAGTATGACTTAAAAACTAACCTAGTTTTCAGCATATTGTGAATACATGACTTATTTTTGATTAACAGATGTTACGGTCAGGTATACCAGGTATTACGGAGAAAGGTGTAGAGTTTGTACAGAGGGCGCTGCTGCCAGGTCTGACTGATACCCAGGCTACTTCAATGTTCACAAGGTATTATAGAACAATATTTAGCTTTCTTTATATGTGCATACATAGGGAATGGGTGTGTTTTTTTTTTCAGTCCTAAAAATAAAAACAAGAACAATAGGAAACAAGCAAATATCAGTGTTATCCCAGGGGTAGATAAGAACTCAACAAATGTTATAAAGGTAATGTAAGTTTTATCAATGGAAGTTAGTAAGTAAAAGAAATTGTCACGTAATGGTATTGTTGAAAATGAAAATTTAGTGTTATGCCCACTTAAGGTAGTACACCCCTAATGCACTATTTCCACTGTGAAGAGTATTCAAATAGGCTAGAATCACTGTAAAGTGTATTGAAACTGAGGGGCGTGGGTTCGAACCCCAGAAGGGGCAACTTTTTTTTCTTTCTTTTTTTTCTTTTTAACATTTTTTATTAATCTCCAAGATCCCTAATGGAAGAAAAAAGTGTTTCATTTTAATTATATAATTTTTGTAGGTATTTTTTTACTAAATAATGCCAAATTTAATAGCAAATATGATACCAGATATTTTCAAAGGTTAATAAAATAAAAACTACACGGTAAAAGTATTTTATATTTTGCAAGACCAACCATTATACATTTCAGAAAATTTAGGCAAAGTTTGAAAACAGCCCCTCATTGTGGAAAATTTTAGGAATATTTTAAATAAGGCTTTTACACATGGAAATGGTGAAATAAGTGTTAAAAGTGGGTGGGGTAGGGTTACATTTTTATACATATTAAAAACATTTCGTTTAAGGTGACAACGGAGTCAATTATCACTGAAAATACCTAAAATGAGATTTTTTGCTAAGAAGATTTATCAACCTTTTCTGAACACATTCGTGATTTAATTTTGGAAGCAGTTAGTCCAAAAATGTGTTTTTAAACGTTTTAAAACGGTACCTATACTATTTGTATCTGCTTTTTGCCTAACCTGTCGATTATCGATAACGCTCCGCCCCCTGTTGAGGCATCAATGAGGGAAATCGATAGTTCCATATATCCGTGAATTACAGGTCCATACTGGTCCATACTTCTCGTAATACATGTATCGTACAACTACCGTACATCTTTTATGAATATCTAAACATTTAGCATTTTTTATAAATTAAGAAAGTGTCGGCCAATGTACGTAACATAATGTATTGAACATAAATAATTAAGCATAGCGGCAAATCGCACGACCACGGGGTCGATTCAAAATGTAGTTGCTAAAATATCCAAAATGTGTGAAAATAATTTGTCTGTCCCGTTAATCTGATATATATTACATTGAGTTGATAGACTTTTGTACAGATTCAAGGGCTTACTTTACATTCAACCTCGTTTTCTAACAATGTGAAGTAAAACAACAACAAAAACAGACAACATTTTTTATGTGAACGCCTATATATGACTTGTGGTAAGGTGTCCCTGACAAATTTCTAAACCATTTTAGATTGTATAAGGATGATTATTTCTCTATAAAAAAAAGATGTTAAAATATATTCTCAGTGAAAATAAATTGTTCGCCAGTAAATCGGACACAGCACTAATAAATCTGGGACAAAGTATGAAATTTATTGTCTATCCCGGTAGAAACTGGATCTCTATGCCGTGCATAGATGATATTCAAAATAGAAGTCAAGAAGGCCAGATCATAATGATCGAGTAATACCTTTTATTTCTATTAAAATATGTGAAGCATCATCAATTTGGTGGAAAAAATATATAATATCCCGTTCTTATTTGTACATTTAAAATGGACTTTAATAGACTGTCAGAAGCTCAGTTTTTTGTTATTTTATTTTATATTTTAACGGAATTTCATACACGAATACACAGGCAGAGTGACACTGGTATAATACAATAATAATGCTGATGATAATAATAATAAACTTCAAAAAGGAAACAATTTAATAAATACCCCGCTAGCGGTGCGCAAATGCGTTCCATTTCCGCCCACTGAGTGCCTCAAATTTTACCGATAGTCACGTGACATGTGCGACAGATACCAGACGGATCGTAAATCACGTTAAGAATTGAAGAAATTTCGGCTATAAAGTGATATTAATCAGCAGCTTTTTAATTGGTCAGATGTCACTGGGTCATAAAATGTTGTTAGAGTATGTTACCACAACTTGTGACCCTCTCTGGTGCGATATTTGTGTATTATGCAATTATTTAGCGTGAAACGTAGGGGTCCGAGAGAGAACAGCCGATTTATGACACTTCGTTTGATGCGGGTCGGACTAACTTTGAATCGGCATAACTTTTTTAATAATCAAGCAATTAACATGCGGTTTAAAGCACATGAAAGGAAATTCATTTACGGAGGGAATCGTGTCAGGGATTTTTGTTTGCTTAATCAGCGACTTAATTATCTTTAATTACGTAATATGTATGGTGAAAAAAGCCGCATAAAATGTTTGACGTTACGTAATATTTTTTTGAGAAAAGATAGAAAAAATTTGAGACACGGTTCCCCAGATAGTATAAGTATGGTTATTTTCCAAAAGTTTGATGACAAAAAAATACAAAATGACTTTGATATGACGTTTTAAAATTTTAGGATTTTTATTCAAAATCAATCATTTACAAAGGCATTTTTTTCAAATATGTTATTTTTTATGATGATCAACGACATTTAATGCACAAAGATTAAATAAATAACAATTATTACTAAAATAACTTGGTTTAAATGACATATATGTGAGTACCACGGAAAGTGTCTGTTGTCACCTTAAAAACAATCATTTTGCTTGTTTAATTTGTTACCTAAATGTCATTATTTGTTTCTTAACAATGAGCATTAGGAAAACATTTTTCATAATGATGATATTATAGATTATTTAGAGTTTCCTCATTTCTGAAAAAAAACCTTCTAATGGCAAAGTTTAAGTTAAGAAAAATGTCCATAACTCATAAACCACACGGTAAATTTTGTTTAAATTTTGCATACAGGTGACATTTAAGGCATATAACTGTCCTATGTTGTCAATTTTACAGTTCCTTATAGTGACCATTAGGGGTGTACTACCTTAAATCAATAAACAGGGGTGTGAGGATTTTGTTGTCCTGTCTGATTGATTGCCTGTCTCTGTATACAATGTTCATGTTGATCATACCTACATTGAGTCTAATGGTCGTTTGTCTCTCATTGCCAACTTATGAGAAATAATGTGGGATAAATAGTCAGTCACTTGCAATAAAAATTGGACATTACTGCTGAGTTATCCAGGAAAGCCGGTTAAGTGTACCGATCTTGTAGATATGACAGGACATGTGTTAATATATATTTAAAAACGTACAAATATACAGACCCGTAAAGGTAAAAAAAAAACAAAGCATTTCTCACAAAGTTACAAATTAACAGATGTGGGATAGAGACATTCGTGTTTTATAAGCTCATTTTATCACATAAACCGCGGCGCAAGAGTGTAATAAAGCCATTTAATAAAAACTATATTACACTAGTGTAATAACACTTTGACGTGACGTCATTTGCGCTATATAGAAACATAGTGTTAAAGTGTGCTAATGTTAGCGTAACACTATAGGCGCGTCATTGAAAAATAGCTCATTTCAACACTTTACTATTCTTACTTTATATATGTGATAAAAAGAATATTATATTCGTGTAGATTCAATACTAAATTTATTGAACTCGTTGAATAAAACAATATTATGCTCGCCAGAGGCTCACATAATATGATTGTATTCAACGCGTTCAATAAATTTAGTATTAAACTACACTCATTTAATTTTCTCTATTTATTAGAAACACAAATCAATAATTGATAAAATTATTTTACATTTGATTTATCTTGGCTCCTTCCTCTTCTATAAAAAGTTATTAAGTATATAGGAAATATTTGTGAGTGTTGAGTGAAACTGTATAAGTGGTTAAGTTAGTCACACGGAAATTTGCCAGTTGATGAAAATGGCTAAAATTTCCTCATGCGTAAATATCAACCAACCTGTCATTGAATTCTACTACTACATGATTTGCTAATATTTCCTCATGCGAAATGTATTTGTTAACTTTTCGACATGTGAAAGTATTAACTTATACAGTACAATGGGTTTCATATACATGTAGAATTTAAAAATTGAGGCCACAAATTTAAGTACTATATGAAATGTCCTTTTGGACAGAACCAATGAACTGCATTGTAATTAATTATATAGTGGTCGCAGTAAAATATCTAAAGAACTGTGGTCATTATGAGTATTGACAAAAGCATCTTAAATGGTATATTTATTGAAACACTTGAAGCAGTCTTCAGCTTTTTTAAAGGTTATATGAGCCATGTCATGACAAAACCAACATAATGGGTTTGCGACCAGCATTGATCCAGACCAGCCTGGGCATCCACGCAGTCTGATCAGGATCCATGCTGTTCGCTTACCAACCCTATAACAAGTAAAGAAACTGATAGCGAACAGCATGGTACCTGATCAGACTGCGCGGATGCGCAGGCTGGTCTGGATCCATGCTGGTGGCAAACCCATTATGTTGGTTTTGTCATGACACGGCTCATATTATATGTTCATTTTAGATAAATCATTTCAGATAATTGTCAAATCAAAAGAATTAAGGTGGAAAATGAATTTGCTGAAGCTAAAATACATAAACGATGAAGAAACCCCTCTATACCTATAATCAATATTAAAATTAGTAAAGCGGACAGTTTGTTTCCGGATCTTCTATTTTTAGAAACAAACATCACTGTCCTATAATTAGCTCTCTGGATGCTGTTCTGAAGAATGTTTACAGTGATATGATGCACTTTTCCAAGAAAAAATTACTGAAAAATTTAGTTTGAAAAAAAACAAAAAAACAGAGAAATGTTTTTCCAACAGAATATAAAAGCTGAAGGCCGCTTTAAAATTACACAGGTACCCATTTTTGCCTGAAACAATGCATTGAGGTGCACCTGAGGCATGCATGAAGGCGCACCTGAGGCTTTCCTCCACCAGTAAAGCTCAAAAGTTGCCATATGACCTATACTGAGTTGTTGCGACTTTAAAGCCAACCCGAAAAAACAAAAAAAAGAAACAGAAAAAAAACAACAAACAAACATAAATTATATTACAGAATGATACAGGAGTTTAGCTGGAAAGTTGCCATATGACCTATACTGAGTTGTTGCGACTTTAAAGCCAACCAAAAAAAAAAACAAAAAAAAAAAACAACAAACAAACATAAATTATATTACAGAATGATACAGGAGAGTTTAAGTGCTAAATCTACCCAGTTTAACTTCTTCATACATAACCTGGCTCAGATGAAGTTTTCTAGTCACAATGAAGGGGCCCTGCTGTCATTTGTACCTAAAGTTTATAAGTAAGTATAATTTTACACCTAACCTCTCTGAAATATTGTCATGGACTGGTCCAGCTTTGAAGTTAGAATGTTCCATTGTTGACTTTAGGGTGTTTAACATTACGTCCATAATGGAAGGACTGTAATTCCAAATAATTAATGTTGATAGTATTTAATACCATATGTGAAAATAAACCATGAAAAAATTAAAGAGGGGTGTTGATGGTTGTTAGATACATGATTTGAGCCGTGTCACGACAAAACCAACATAATGGGTTTGCGACCAGCATGGATCCAGACCAGCCTGCGCATCCGTTATATCCATATATCCATTGTGTTCGCTATCAGTTTCACTACTTGTTATAGGGTTGGTAAGCGAACAGCATGGATCCTGATCAGACTGCGTGGATGCGCAGGCTGGTCTGGATCCATGCTGGTCGCAAACCCATTATGTTGGTTTTCTTGTGACACGGCTCATTTGATTTGATATGTCTGTACATGTATATAGCATATAAGTTGTTCTAGAACAAAATATTTTTATTCCTGTCATACAAATGTTCATAGAAAGTCATTTTAGAACAAGATACTGGATCAACATTATGTTTTCCATCAATTTTACATAGAATATCCAAATGATACATATCTACATTGTATTGCTGTTTATTTTTCCATTATTTGAAATACTTACAGAAAATGTGCAAATTGTAAACCAATCCACTTTAATTTAGTATGTTTCATAGTTCATAACAGAACCATTGTGATTTTGTTAAATTCTATGTATATCCTGTCTTTCTCTGCACTAACAGATGAACTAATTTGCTGACATAGTCTTATCAACTGTCAAGTATTTGCATGATCATTGATGTCTTAAATTCATCCTGAGAGTAAATGCATTGCATTATTTCTGCAAAAAACAGATATTTAAAGCTAATTGGTCCTTAATGAAATGTCTTTTTATGCAACAAATGAATACATTGATAGACTTCATTATCAGACAATATTAATAACTAATCACTAAGAATTATACACAGATGTTGTTGGCAAGTGCGAGATACATGATCTGATATTATATATATTTATATAACAGTTAATAAAATGTTGTAAAACAAAATATTATTATTCATCATATAAATGTTCATGCAAAATGACTTTATCAACATTTTTTTCAAAGATATATTTTATAAGAATATCCGTCTACCAAGTTTGTTCAAATAAAAGCCCTGGGGTCAAAATTGGCCCGCCCTAGGGGTTATTGATTTTCCATATATGTATATTGTAAAAACTTAAGAAATCTGCTTTTAAAAAACCTAAAGAGCTAGAGCTTAGATATTAAGCATGAAACATCTTCTAATTGGCATGTACCAAGTTTGTTCCAACAAAACAAACAAAAGCCCTTGGGTCAAAATTGGCCACGCCCCCGGGGGTCATTGATTTTCCTATATGTATACATCTTTTTGAACTGTTGTTATCCCTCAGCAACAGCAACCAGTAATGTTTTTACACATGCACTTTTACAGATAAAAATATGAACTTTGTGATATCAGTTTAAGATTTAGATATTATATCTGCTTTTGTTTATAGCTTACAATATTACTTGTTCCTTGTCATGGAGGGTTTCTATATTCAGGTGAACGATTTCAGGGCCCTCTTGTTTATTTATCATTATTGGAAATACTTGTAGATAACGTGCACATTGTAGACCAATCCACTTTAGATATAGAGATTCTGTTTATTAATTTGGTCAACTTTCTATGTCAATGTCAATTTATGAATGATAACTTTAAATTTCAAAAGAAACTTGATTTTGTTTTCATTTTAGTCAACAGACTGATGGTAAAATAAAGCATGTCGAAGTATTTGGTATCCAGAAAAGGTATACACCTGAAAAGCATTACGTAAGTATGATAATATTTTCAACTAGAAAAGAAATATCTAAACAAATAAGATTTGTACATAAATCAAGTGAAACACTTAAATTAAAAAAATCTGCAAAGGATAATTAAAAAAAAAATGATAAGAATTTACATAAAAATCTTTCATTTTTAGCTCACCTGAGCATATGCTCAGGGTGAGCTATTAGTATCACTCTTCGTCCTTCGTCTGTCGTCCCTCGTACGTCATACGTCGTCTGTCGTCCGTTCACACTTTTAAAACTACATCTCATCCGAAACCATAAGGCAGATCATAATGAAACTTCACAGGGATGTTCCTTGTGTGAAGCCTTAACAAAGTTGTTCAAAGGCAGAACTCTGGTTGCCATGGCAACCAAAAGAAAAAACTTTAAATATCTTCTTCTAAAAAACCCAAAGAGCTAGAGCTTAGATATTTGGCATGAAACATCTTCTAGTGAGTGTCTACCAAGTTTGTTCAAATAAAAGCCCTGGGGTCAAAATTCGCCCCGCCCCAGGGGGTTATTGATTTTCCCTATATGCACATAGTAAAAACTTAAAAAATCTTCTTTTAAAGAACCCAAAGAGCTAGAGCTAAGATATTTAGCATGAAGCATCTTCTAATGGGTGTCTACCAAGTTTGTTCAAATAAAAGCCCTGGGGTCAAAATTGGCCCCGCCCCAGGGGGTCATTGATTTTCCCTATATGCATATAGTAAAAACTTAAAAAATCTTCTTTTAAAGAATGCAAAGAGCTAGAGCTAAGATATTTAGCATGAAACATGTTCTAATGGATGTCTACCAAGTTTGTTCAAATAAGAGCCCTGGGGTCAAAATTGGCCCCGTCCCGGGGGTCATTCATTTTCCTTATATGTTTATAACAAAAACTTAAAAAGATCTTTTTGAAAACAAAAACAAATAGCTAGAGTTTAGATACTAAACATGAAACGTCTTCTAGTGAGTGTCTACTAAGTTTGTTCAAATAAAAGCCCTGGGGTCAAAATTGTCCCCGCCCCGGGGGTCATTCATTTTCCTTATATGTGTATGACAAAAACCTACAAAATCTTCTTTGAAAAAACTCAAATAGCTAGAGTTTAGATATTAAGCAAGAAGCATCTTCTAGTGAGTGTCTACAAAGTTTGTTCAAATAAAAGCCCTGGGGTCAAAATTGGCCCCGTCCCAGGGTACATTGATTTTCCTTATACGTGTATAGCAAAAACTTAAAAATCTTCTTTGAAAAAACCTCAATAGCTAGAGTTCAGATATTGAGCATGAAACATTGTCTAGTAAGTGTCTACAAAGATTTTTCAAATAAAAGCCCTGGGTTCAAAACTGGCCCTGCCCCAGGTGTGTCATTGTTTGTAACTATATGTGTAAAAAAAAAAACTTGAAAAAAATCTTCTTAAAAAACCCAACAAGCTAGGCCTTAGATGTTTAGCATGAAACATCTTCTAATGGGTGTCTACCAAGTTTGTTCAAATTAAAGCCCTAGGGTTTAAACTGGCCCTGCTCCGGGGGCCTAGATACAGGTGAGCGACTTTAGGGCCATCATGGCCCTCTTGTTTGTGACTCAGCTGATTCAGAAATCATATCGGATTATTACTTTGGTTACTATAGGTAAATACTGGTTAGTTATTCATGATTGACTGCAGATATATGACCAAAAAATGTTCTAAATTCAGCATAAAACACAACAACAGAAAAATGACCAAACAAAGCAAAGTTATGATCAAAATTTGAAGAATGAATTGTATTATATATTTCAGATCTACACTTTAAAAATTGTGCGAGAAAACCAAAAAGTACCAACTTATATTTTCCGTATTTTCCCTGAGTTTGTTGAATTTAGAAACAAATTGGCTGCAGAATTTCCTCTTGTGAATTGGCCACCACTTCAAGGAAGGTAAGTGGTTTCAGCAGATACATAGAGGAAATGAAATGATTGTTTTACAGTTACTTATTTTGATGCTGCCTGAAAGGTGAGCATACGAGTATAGTTACTGCTTTGTCCTTTTGTCTTTCCCTTCGTCCCCTTTTCTTGTCCGGAAAATAACTCTGAAACAACAAGAGGTATCAACATGAAACTTTGTAGGTAGATAGATCTCATTTGGTACATGTGAAGTGCACAAGAATTGTAACTCTGCCTTGCCTAATTTAGAGTTATTGCCCTTTGTTAATTTTTTTTACATTTTGAGCTTTGTCCGGGACATAACTGTGAAACTATAAGAGATATTAACATGAAACTTTGTAGGTACATAGATCTCATTGTGTAGATATGCAAGGCTCTTGTTTTTTTGTATGTAAATTGTGAAAAATTATGTTATCACACTTTCTTCAGTTTTGCCTGCCTTTAGTGGGCCAATAAGGAGAGATGAATTTGTTGTTGAAATTAGGACTGGAGCAAAATTAATGGTCATTTGGTATAGAGGTCAACTACTTCCTTGAATGTGATATGCTTTAATAAAAAGTGATGAATAAAAACTGCTCATGCAGGTCATGCCTTTACGGATAGAAATACATTTAGGCCAATTTTTTTTTATATTTTGGTTTACTGATTTTTTCCAAAAAAAGGTAGAGTCGGCGGCGGGAAAAAAAAAGAAAAAAAAAAAAGGTTTTCATAACTATAAAATTAATGTGGTGCATACATATACATAGTACTTACTAGAGCAATGAAATTAAATACATCGCCGATTGTCTATTCCAAAGATTGTCTAAATACACAAAAAAAACTTTTGCTCACATTGCCATTGTTTAAAAACACACATGAAATCTACACACGATGACTAATGGCAAGTGGCAAGCCAGCCCTTCAAAAGAATCTGTCATTCTTTGATGTTTACACACTGCTGTGTAATCTGCATCATCAAAGGTGCCGAAACTCAGCTGACTTGCACTCATTTCTTTATAGATCAGAAGTTTAAAAAAAAACTGTCAAAAAAAGATTACACATGTTTAATTATTGCCCAATGTGAAAATATTTTTATCGGATAATTAGCGGGTCAATTTTTGACATAAAAATCTATTAATAGTAAGTGCATTTTTTTATTTTGTTTGTTTGACAACCTGTATTCAATCTGCTTTTAAAGACTAATTTTTTTTGTTAAATCTGAAAATACTGATCTTGTCAATTGCAGTAGATTTCTCGAATGTAATTGCTTACGTAATTTGGCGTGTTTTTTTGTTTGTTTGTTTTTGTAGTTTTTTGTTGTTGTTTTTTTACATTTTTACGCATTTGGACCTTAAATGCATTGATGAAATTTGATCAAAGCCTAATTATAATTCTGTGAGAAATTAATTGGCTTGACCCATTTAACAGACATTCTTTCATAATACACCAATAAACACTTTACTAGACAGGCTATTCTTGAGTAAAGATAACCGGTTGCGTATCTCACTGTATAAATCGTATGTAAAATAGTCTGGCATATGGTAGGTTTAACAGTTAATTTAAATACTTACCGTGACGTTTCTTTGATAAGTCGTATTATTAGCGGCATATTTCAAGACAACATAGAATTTTTTTGGGGGCAAATTTTTTTTATTTTTTTTCATTTTCCCAAAATACAGAGTCGGCGGGTCAGTAAACCGAAATATCAAAAAATAATGGCCTTAGCAAGCGTCATTGCTGTAAACTGATAAAAAAAGCTTATTGCAATGAAGACCCTGGTAGTTTCATTATCAAAATATAACAGTCAATTTACATGGAAAGCATGACAGAATGATTTCTTTATACGAGAAGAAAACAAACTTATTTATTTAATAAGTTATTTTTCAAAGCATAACACATTTATTGTATAAAAAATGATTTGTTAATTCTTTTGTCTTGAAAATTTGCATAACTGGACATTGTGGAGAAGGGAGTTGCTTTTTAACTGGTGATTTATGTGTGTGTTATTGAGTGTTCTTATTTATACAGGGTGTGGTCAGCACCGGTGGGAGGCAAGCGTTGGTAATACTGCTTGCATTGTATGCCTTATGAAAATGTTTGAAACCTTAACTTTCTAAATATATATGTTTCTCTGTGAAATGAAATTTTCCCATGTTTCATGCATATATCTTATACGAAATTACCTATCAAAGCAGCTTATAGACTGGCCTGATTTGCTCAGCAGGTAGAGTCTCTGGTCTATGGAGTTAGAATAATGGGTTTTCGCACCTGGTTTTGCGTAGTAATGTAGCAAAAGGGAATAAGTATATATAAGGACATAATACTCGACATAATAATACTGCCTGATGACATTACAATTTCTATATTTGAGCCGTTCAATGACAAAACCAACATAGTGGGTTTGCGACCAGCATGGATCCAGACCAGCCTGCGCATCCGCCCAGTCTGATCAGGATCCATGCTGTTTGCTGTCAGTTTCTCCACTTGTAATAGTCTTGGTAAGCAAACAGCATGGATCCTGATCAGACTGCAAGGATGCACAGGCTGGTCTGGATCCATGCTGGTCGCAAACCCATTATGTTGGTTTTGTCATGGCACGGCTCATTTGGGTTTCAAATCATTTGTGGGTTTAAATCCCACAAGGAAGCTATTCAGCTGGCTCATGGATTATTGAGGTGGCACCCGTCAGTAAAGCCAGTAAGACACTGTATGACCTTGACAGTATTAACGTGACTTGAAACCCTACAGAAATATTTGGACTGAAATAAAAGGGAAAAAAGGTCTTTTTCATAGATATTATTGATGATTGTAGCATTATTATTTTTTCTCTCACTTTCCTTTTTTCATGTTCTGTACTGTGGACAGAAATTCATATTATTGAATGAGAATGATTATACGCAGTGTTGAATATTAATAGAAAAGAATCTAGACACTAAGGATCTTTAATAAGTTGTATTACAGGTATATTACAATTTCTTTTCACGGAATATTTTTCCCTGTGGATAGAATGTCATATTATTAAATAAGAAGGATTTTACACAGAGATAAATAGAAAAAAGTATAGGCATAAAGGATCATCACTTTATTCAATGATATAACAGAAATGTTACCATTCCTTTTCTCAAAAATATTTTTCTCTGGATATTTATCAAAATGCTTATGAGACATTTTGCTGCATGTTTATATAGAGCAGGGGTGACCACTTTACAAAGGTATGAGTGCAGTGCTTATAAGAAGGTCATTTTAACTTATTTGATCTCACAGGGCTAGCTTTATGTCTTTAACTTCACTGTAATGTAAATAGTTACAGAAATTATGAATAAAAGCTATCATAAGCTTTTAACAAATGATAAGTTGTAAGATTGTGTAATAATTGCGTATTGTGCAAAAAATGTGTAAATATATGATATGCTTATCAGTAAATCAGTAAAATTACTGTACTTGATAGAATATCGTATGCTAGAATATCTTTATTAAAGGAATATTGTGTTAAAAAAATTGAAAAAATGTTTCCATGTGTGAAAGATATTTAGCTTAATTCATTTAAGGTATTGTTTTCAATCTTTCTTGTTGATTCTTCCTTATTACACTATGTGAGAACATATAAGATTATATTGCTTATTGTATGAATAATCTGAAAATAATAAGACTATTTATTTCTGTTGAAGTATCATAAGGCTTGATTTAACATCTTGCGTTATCTGTTAAGACAGTGCTTTTTGTCTTCTCATCCTTCATAAATGAATGACTTTAATTAATTTGTTAGAGTGGAGTCTAGCGATTTTGGTCCTACATGTTTGTAAAATTGATTTTTAAGGAAACAATTTGTTTAACCTTTTAGCTTGACATTCGTACCAACATCAAAACAATACGCCATTTATGGCTCAATGCTAATTTGAGAAAAAAAATTGAGTTAATTTTCCATTTGTGATGTCCATTTATGATTTTTTCTCCACAAGGATGCCTGTCATCGCAATGGTTTGAATCCGAAAATGGATTCTGTCATGTGAAAAATCATGTGAGAAATTGATCCAATTAGCTTGCGGAACGTCAGTGGTTCTACTCAGATGCTCACTTGTGATCTAAGTAATGCACATGAAGTTTACATTGACTACCAGTAGGTGGGACATATAAGGTTGCCATTTTGACTTTTATGGTGACAGTGTCACTTAATATCCAACAAAATATTCAACAGGGACCAAAATCTCTAGGTTTAGCTCATTTCTATTTAAATTATATTCCAGTGAATTCAGTATGCTGTATTATATATTAATGTATGAAATGGCACGTTGCTATTAATAGCAATATGTAATAGTTCTATAGGGAAAAGGCGAAGAATATAATGATATTTCTAACTGGCTAGACAAATTTAGCTAGTTTTGTCAGTTATTTTTGTATTAAAACAATAACAAGCAAATATTTTGCTTGTTTTTATTTGGTTGCTAAATTATATGCTTAGATAAAAACATCTTTTCATTGAAAAAAGGGGCGTCCATGGCCGAGTGGTTAAACCATTTGCCCCTCACGCTGTGGGTTCGAATCCCAACAGGGACTTTGGATTCTTTCATGTGAAGAAGCTATCCAGCTAGCTTACGGAACGTCGGTCCGGGTTCTGCTCAGCTGCTCGTTCGTGCCTGAAATAATGCACGGAAGGGCACCTGAGGTCTTCCTCCACCAGTAAAGCTGGAACGTCGCCAAATGACCTATACTGTGTCGATGTGACGTAAAACCCAATCAAACAAACATTGAAAAACCAGGAGTTAAGTGTTTACTTTAAACTTGTAAACAAGACAATGTTCACTTTACTTATTAAGCATATATAAACATTATTCCCTATTGAAATGCTTAGATTCGAATCCCGACATGGACTTTGGATTCTTTCATGTGAGGAAGCTATCCAGCTAGCTTACGGAACGTCGGTTCGGGTTCTGCTCAGCTGCCCATTCGTGCCTGAAATAATGCACGGAAGGGCACCTGAGATCTTCCACCACCAGTAAAGCTGGAACGTCGCCAAATGACCTATACTGTGTCGGTGTGACCTAAAACCTAATCAAACAAACATTGAAAAGCCAGGAGTTAAGCGTTTACTTTAAACTTGTAAACAAGACAATGTTCACTTTACTTATTAAGCATATATAAACATTATCCCCTATTGAAATGCTTAGATTCTACTCTTTGGAAAAATGATTTTTCAAATATAGTTAATTTAGTTTGAACAATTTTCCTGGATATTTACAAGATATTAGAAGCACTTTGAGTCTGCTTTCTGGATGTAACCAGTACTTGTGTCTTTTGAGAAAACATTTTATCTTGAAAACATTCTTTATTGGTTATGACACTGGAATTTTTATAGCTTAACTTTTTCAACCATTTATTTAGTACTACTCTGACTGGTTATTTTTCATAACAGACAATTTTCTCTTAGAAAAGAACTTCATCATATGAACCAAAAATTTAAAAATTTATTTTCATGAGCGATATGTTTCTCTTCACAAGAGGCTCTTATCTTTCAAATGTATGTAAAATCAGATATCAAAGTCATTGAAGTTGGATTCATTCTTTTAATTTATCATGTTTAATGTTATTTCAAAATAATATCATGATAAAAATGTTATAACAGTCTTATAATATATTTTGACATTTTATTGACATACAAGCAGTATTATTATGATCAGTGAAATCTTCAATTTTAATACTGTCATCTGTTTTTGACCCCTCTTATTGGCTATACAATAAGCCAGAAAGGAGTTTACATATATGAATGATTGCTACATTGTTTCTTGGCCTTTGTTGAAGAGAAAGCAGGTAGCAGTTTAATGCCTGTTGGGGTCTGTTTTCTTGTTCCATACATTGTCCTAAGATGTTTAGGGCTGTTTCTCTATGTCCAAGGAATTTATCTGTTGCTATGGTTCTTATAAGTTTACCAAGTGCTTGTTGTTGATCTTGATGTCTTTGTAGATGACTGTAGATCTTGTATTGTAGGAAGTACAGGAAAGGTAGAGAATCAACTACAGCCCAGTCCATCCAACAGTCATCATCTTCATCTCTGTGTATCATGTCAGCTTGTGTAGATCTGAACATTTCATATTGTAGTTCACGAGGAACACAGTTGATCTCTTCCTGTATAAATCTGACACAAAATGCTGTAATTTGTTTGATACAGTCCTCACTTTGTTCACCACATACCCTCATAAATTCTGCTGTTACTGCTGGTTGAGGCCTTTCCCAGCAGCTACATATAGGTACAACAGGATAAGAGTAATATTGTTGTTCAGTGTGTCTCAGAATTAGTTCAGCTTTCTCCATATCTCCTGTACTGTAGAACACTGAAGCCAATTTAAGTCTGCTAGATGAGGTATCTGAGTTTAAACCAGCTGATAACCAAACCAATGCTTCAGGTGACATTTGATTATTTTCACCTATGCTGGATGATGCTAAGATAGATCCATATGTGGTAAAAAGAAAAGGTGCTAGAAGCTTGAATGCAGCATGTTCTAATCTATTGCCATTATTACTGAAGTTCATCAATTTAACTACAAGTTGCTTTATTGTTCTTATGTTTTCATTTTTTCAAATGATTTAAAACAAGCATATACCGCATACTTATGTTAAATGCATTGCTTCCATACGTCGAGGTCAAAACTTGTTCATATATTTGAAGAGAAGAAGGAAAATAGTAAACTCTATGTGGTATCCTGTTCAGTTTTACTTGAAGTCTATGACCAAGATTATCAATATCAATACTAAGTAACCATTGTCTATCATTCTGTATAAGTTCACAAATATTTTTTGAAAGTTCATGTTTTGTCTCGGGTGTAAATTGCCCTGCCATCAAATTATTGCCCGGTATAATGAAATGTGAACAACGGTCATTCTGTACACAGCTGTGTAGTTCCAATAAGCAGTATGTTAAACATGTAAATAAATTGTTATCTTTCCATACACTTGGTTCTGTGTTTTCTATACAATGTAATAGAACTGTTTTACACATGAAACTTGATATATTGATTTCATTTTGAGGATTAAGAATCGATTTAAAAATCTTTTTTAAAATAAAAACATAAACCCTTTTATTTGTTTATATTTAAATTGACCCCCATTAATTTTTCGTTGGGCCCCCAAATGATGAGATTTCCCTAAAATTAATTTCCCCAGGATTTTAAACACTGACCTTACTTTCCCAGTTGGCCCCCCAAAAAACCCCCCAGTACGGGTTTTGCATATTTTCCCATGTCTTGTGTTGGGCCATCTCCAAAATCCCCTTGTCAAATCTAACCCAAACCCAGATGCTGTTTGAGGCCCAGGTTTTACAATCCATACCCTATCCCCGGGTTTTAATCAGAGAACCCGGTTGCCCTTGTTCACCCAAGGGGATTGGTCCATGCTCTACAACTTTTGGGGAAATCCAAACCCATGTAATAGTGTGTTTTTTTAAGGCATTTCTTTCCATTTCCCCTATCAGTTTTTATTGTTCTTAAGGTATGACAGTGGCCCAGGAAGGGGTTACATAAATTTCGGACCCCTTTTTGTAAGAAAAAATAACCCGGGGGTAGTGTTCTCATCCTGTATCATGAAAAAGTTTCCTCCCCATTTTCCCCAACCCTGCCCAGTTTTGTATTATTTGCCCCCTGCAAAGAAAGTCCCCCTAAGGTCTGAATGAAGTCTATAGATTGCCTTCACCCCCTGCTACCTAGATAATATCCAGTCATGTTTATATCAATTAACATGAAAATGATATTATACATAGTCTCATTCAGCATGCAATGTCTTCTCCTTATCATCACCATTCTTTCATTGACACCAATGTCATCTAAAACCTCTGATAACGCCAAGGATAGGTTTTCTCTGTAGTCGGGTTCTTGAAACATTCTGTAATATATTAGTAAAAGGGAAAATTGTTTCAGGCAGCTGTTAAATTAATTTTGTCACATTCTTCTATGTCTCACATATTTGTCGTTTATGTCCTAGAACAGATCAGAACAGGAGAGTCAATATGGACATAATTAAATATAAGATAAATAAGTTGGGGTACATATCATTTGATAAAAAAATATTGCATTTTTTCTCTATTATTTGTGGTATTTTTTATCTATTATATAAATTTGAATATTTGTTTTCAGAATTTTAAATGACACACTAAAATTAAACACTTATTCAAATATTCATGTAACACTTTCTTACATAATTCATTCAATATGGATGTGAAATTGCGTACATAGAATGATGTTTTAAACTTATGCTGAATGTTGGCTTTAATAATATTTCTTAAAAAAAAAAACAATCGAGAGGAAAAAATTCTTTTCATTTGAAGAGATAGGTGGAAACTTTACTTATTTAAAATTTACTTGGAATGAAAATGTTAAGGGAAATAACTCACTTCTATGGAATTGAAATTATGCTCATATAAGACAATCTTTTCTGAATATACATAATAATATAAAGAAAATATTATGTTTTTTTCTATTTAATTGAAATAGATAATACATTAAAACAATTATGTTATTTTTTTGACAACACCAAAGTTTTAATATTGAATGAAACATTTTCTTACATAATTCATACTACCCGGTATTTGAATGAGAAATTGTATATAAAAATAAAGTTTGAAACTTACTTTGAATGTTGAAGTCTATAATAAAAAAAACTAGTTCTTCCCGTCTGTCTAGATAGGTGGAAATTTTACTATATTTTTTTCCTCTTTTGGTTTTGAATGAAAAAGTGAAGGGAAATAACTCACTTCCTCTTCCTTACCGGTACATTTGTTATGAGAGTTTATTGAATAATGTCCCTTTTATGTATATACAGTAAATATAGACTTAATTATAGTAAGTGATAATATAGACTGAATTATTTCCCTCTCTTTAAATTAGTTTGAAATTCATTAAAACATCTTATTTCTTTTAAGAAAAACATAAATATGACATTTTAAGGATGAGAGTTCTTTCATAAGAAAACTTAAAGGCATATTATTGGCAGAACTAAGTCAAAATTGAAAAAAAGTGAAGACAATTAACACAAAATACATAATAAATTTAGAAAATAAACATATTTTAAATACAATGTAACATAATTAATTCATTATCATGTTTTCCATCGTAACATAGACAATTTATTTATCATGATGTTTACCATTGTAACAAAGACAATTGATTTTTAATGATGTTTACCATTGTAACAAAGACAATTGATTTTTCATGATGTTTACCCTTGTAACAAAGACAATTAATGTTTTTATGATGTTTACCATGGTTGTATAGACAATCAATAAATCATGATGTTTACCATAATAACATAGACAATCAATTTATCATGACATTTGCTACTGTAAAATAGACAATTAATTTATCATGATGTTTTCCATGGTAACATAGACAATTAATTTTTCATGATGTTTACCATGGTAATATAGACAATTAATTTTCCATGATGTTTGCCTTTGTAACATAGACAATCAATTTATCATGATGTTTGCCATGCCATGGTAACATAAATAATTAATTTTTCATGATGTTTACCATGGTCACATAGACAATTAATTTTTCATGATGTTTACCATGGTAACATGGACAATTAATTTTTCATGATGTTTACCATGGTAACATAGACAATTAATTCTTCATGATGTTTACCATTGTAACATAGACAATTAATTCTTCATGTAACATAGACAATTAATTCTTCATGATGTTTACCATTGTAACATAGACAATTAATTTATCATGATGTTTTCCATGGTAACATAGGCATTTAATTTATCATGATGTTTACCATGGTAACATAGACAATCAATTTATAATGATGTTTACCATGGTAACATAGATAATTGATTTATCATGATGTTTAACATGGTTACGTAGACAGTAAATGTGTCACTTAATCAGTCAACCAGTGAATCAATATGTGAATCAGTTAATTAATAAATCAATAAGTGAGTCAGTGAAAAAAGGTTAGTTAATTAATAAATGAATCAATCAATCAGTCAGTCAATAAGTGAACCAGTCATTCAATCACTGAATCAGTCATAAATAAATTCACCCAAATGATATGACTGGAGTTTACATTTTGTCAAAATAAGAACCTGTCTTGTGTATTTTCATCATATATTCTAACAAGACTATTGAAACTGCATAGTTTTTAAATCTTAATATTAAAATCCCATAAACTGATACTGTAATGTATTTTTGAAGTTGAAAGCAGAACAAAGTCCATTCCACAACAATGTTGAAAAAATTATAGTGGATTCAGGGAATGCATTGTTTAAATTTTAGATGCTTTAACATTGTGAGTTTTTTACATTCTCTAGGAAGAGTTGCAAATTATTGTGTTTCTTTTATTTTAACTTTGTAATGTTATTAGCTCTTGTTATGCCTTTTCACAGGAACCTGAAATCAATCAATAATTACCCAAAGTACAAAACAATATCACATACTAAATTTTATATATGTGTATTTGGTATGTAATCATAATTGTACATATTGATAAATTTGCAGGTTTCTGCCAAAATAAATCTATAAATAAATCTTAAATTGGAGAAATAAAGTGAAGTGAATTTATTTTCAGGGTGTTACTTGGACGCAGCCATGTGAAAGCTGTGGCTGAAAATAGGAAGTCAGAAATTGAAAGATTTCTTCAGGATCTCTTTTGTGCCTCTGGTGAAATTGTTCATGTAAGTTTGTTTCTACATTTTAAAGGCCGTTTATGTCTCAAAAATACTTTTATTTGTATTTCCAAGAAGCTTTTATTTCTTGTGTACTTTTTCGCAAAAGTTGCTCAAAAGTCAAAATACTACTGTTTGCCCTTGCTATAGAACTAAGAATTTATATATTTTTGGCATAATGTGCCTTTAATGGAAGACCATGACCATGAAACTTCATGCCAATCATAATAATTTGATAGGAACCTTTTAATGAGTGTATATTGGTCAGAATGAATTCGTATTTATACCCCGCACAACAAAGTTGTAAGGGGTTATACTGAAATCAGCTTGTCTGTCCTGTCGACCCTCTGGGTTTTTTTGCCCGTCCAATAACTTAATAATCATTTGGCGCACAGTCGTCATATTGGTCATTATTAGTAGATGAACCCTATTGATTTTAAGGTCAGTGGTCAAGGTCACAGAGGCTTGACTAAAAAAGCTTGTCAGCCCAAAAACCTAAGAATCCTTTGACCTACAGTCTTCATATTTGGCATGGAGGTTGGTCATGACCATTTGGTGACCCCAATTGATTTTGAAGTCACTGGGTCAAGGGTCAAGATCACAGGGCCTAAAGTTAAAAACGCTTGTGCGCTCAATTGCTTAAGAATGCTTTGGTCAACAGTCTTCATATTTGAAATTGAAGTTAGTTATGGCTAGTTGATGACCCCTATAGATTTTGAGGTCATAGGGTTAAAGATCAAGGTCACGGGGGTCTTGACTTCAAAAAGCTTGTCCGCCCAATAACTTAAGAATCCTTTGACCCACATTCTTCATATTTGGCATGGACGTTGATTATGACCATTAGGTGGTCATATTGATTTTAAAGTCAATGGGTCAAAGGTCAAGGTCACAGGTCATCTTTTATTTGTAACTCAATATTAATTTCTTCAACAAACAAAATAATTTACAAAATGATATTATTGTTTTTGACATGTGCATACATTTTATCAGACTAATGTGACTTTTTTTCTATTTTATGAAAAAATATATAGATTTAGAATATTTTTCATAAAAGTATTGTTGTTTAGGTGTATGACTAAAATGTATCAATTCCGACCAATTTTTACTCTGGTTGGTCACATAGAAATATGACATTACTGTGGAATAAAAGATGGTGCGAAATAAGCGATGTTGACAATGAATGTAAATTTATTGAATTCATTGAAAAAATTCAATATGAAATCTATTCACCCTTTAACTTGGAGGAGCTTTGTTTCCCAACTTATTTGAAATTATTGTACTTTTAAACAGTGTGAGCTGGTGTACACATTTTTCCATCCATTGCTGCGAGACGAACAAGAGGCCCAGAAGGAGAGAATTGCATTACCAAAGCTAAGAGGTGCGTTTTATAGTTAGGAAATAGCTTTTAAAGTTTCAGTGCACTCTCATACAATATTGTAAGGTTGCAGTTCAGATGTGTAGTAATATAGTAACAAGGGTCATAAGCACGTGCAAAATAAAACATGAAGTATTATATATGAATGCAAGAAAAAAATTGATAATTTTTTCTGTTTCCATGGTGATATGCTTTTAGTGAGACCCCTGTTAAATATCTTGATTTTCAATCAGTAGTCCATAAAAATATAATGTAAAAACTTTGACACAAAAATAAGTAAGGCACATGAAATTTATTTTGATTGCTTTTCCAGCTAAATATTTTAGGTTCAAAGATCGATGTTGCTTGTTTTTGATTGCTCAACATAACAAGCTCATAAAGTGCTGGTATCTTTCTGTATGGACTTACTTGATTTTTTTTCTCTTGTGTCAAGCAACTTTTTAGATCATCTAGATATAGCACTTAATGTCCTACCAGCTGACTAATTCAAGGGTTTCCGAACATGTGCAGATTGACAAAAGTGAAAGATAATATAGCCTCTGTTAGGATTGAACTCTTGACCTCCATATTAGGAGTCCAGTGTCATATTCCTTCAATTAAATCATATGTTAGTGAAATCATATTAGTTTAAATTTAATGGACTGTTCAAGTATAAGATTATGTCAAATATTTTGAAATTGTTTGTTCTTTCAGAAGAGAATAGATCATTTTCAGGTTTGCGAGGAAATTATACAATTGCTTTTCATTAATTTGACGATCACCTGTGTACAAGCTTTTTTAGTTCACTTTAATATATAGATCATTATCAACATAGACTAATAATTATCATCATAGATTTATAATTATCATTCCAGATGAATAATTATCATAATAAAAAAGAATTATCATCATAGATGAATAATTTTCATTATAGAAGAAAAATTATCATCAAAGACAAATAATTTTCATCATAGATTAAAACTTATCATTATATAAGAATTATATTTATTATAGAAGAATGATTATCATAATAGGCGACTTATTATTATCATAGACTAATAATTATCATTATAAAAGAATAATTATCATTGTATTTAATGCTTTTGTTTACACAGAGAAGAAAACATCACCAAAATCTCCCACGACCCCAGGTTGTTGTTTACCAGGTTTTATTTGTGTCACCTTTTAATCACTCATGCTTACTCTACTTTTTCACTCACCTGAGCAACAAAAAGAGTCTTTATTTTAATTACCGAAACCTCAGAGCACATTTTCTTATCAGTTTTTAGTCTGAGCCAGTAATAGAAAAACAAAACTTGATCAAAAGCACAGATAATCTTGAAATTCTTTTAAGACACAAAACACAAACCTATTTCTGATTGGTTAATTTTAAGGTTTTAAGCTACATAGAAATGTTATTAATACATTTTTGACAGGTTATATTGCTTCGTAAATTGTACAAACATTTGCAATATAAACCTCACCTGGCAGGTGGGGTCATATATGTTTATAGCCATTTATTCTGAGAATTTTATGTGTCAAAATTCTCTTTAAATTGTCGTAAGATGTGGCTTGTTATTCCTTTTTTTATATTTCATGTTTTAAAAATAAGATTTCAAGCGTGAAATGTTAGAGCGAGATCGCTGGTTATCTTTGATAAATTAGTAGCGAAAAATCGATATATACTCGTAGCAACCAATGAACTGTTCAAGAACGGAAAACTATTTATCTGTTGTTAATCACAAAGACTTTAAACTGTCCAATTTCTTCGAGAATTTTTGTAATACCAAATAATTATATACATTTTTATTGATTTATTTCGGTTTTTAGAATGAAATTGTTTGTTGTTGACCAATTCACTCTAAATGTTAAAGCATATTTACAATATGATATTGTTAAAAAATGAAATACTGAAACTTGAGAAGATGTGCTCTTATATAAATCCTTTTGTCCAACATATGTTAAATAGAACTTATGGTTTTGCTAGAATTCCTTTTAAGTCCAACATTATGATTATGAAAAAGCTGAAACCTAGATTAGTACCAAAATCTTTCTTGCATTGAATTGTTTTTTCTTCTTTTTTAACAGTTTTAAGATACTCTCCCTCAATGATTTTCCAGTTTTTGCATAATTATGTAACAATAATCCCCAACATCCTTTTAATGTCTTGGTTATGAAATCATTTTTGTGCCCCCACTATAGGGGGGGGTGCATTTAGATTTACCCTTGTCCGTCCGTCCATCCTTCCGTACAAACCCAGAGGTACTTGTGTGACTTGGAGAACAATGGGTAACAGTAAATTCTCTTTGATCCTATTCATTCCGTCCTTACTTGTGTGTCTCTTTTTAAGCCTTGTGTGACTAAAAGTGACCAAAAAGATCAAAGGAAAAGTCACATAAGTACCATTTTGTGAGTACATCCGTTCGTCCGTCCGTCCGTTCTCTTTTTGTGTCGCACGTAGCTAAAAAAGTAATTGACCTAGAGTCATGAAACCTTACAGGAATCTTGATCAGCATGTGAAGTTGTGCACCTGGGTATTTTCATGTGGATATATTTAGTATTTTTAGAGTTATTGCCCTTGACTTAGTAAAAATTTGCAATTTTCAACTTGTGTGGCATGTGACTCAAAAAATATTTTACCTAGAGTCGTGAAACCTTAAAAGAATGTTGTTCAGCATGTGTAGTTGTGCACCTGGGTATTTACGTGTGGATATTTTTAGAGTTATTGCCCTTGACTCAGTAAAAATTTGCGATTTTCAACTTGTGTGGTACGTAACTTATAAAGTAATTGACCTAGAGTCATGAAACCTTACAGGAATGTTGCTCAGCATGTGTAGTTGTGCACCTGAGTATTTTCGTGTGGATATATTTAGTATTTTTAGAGTTATTGCCCTTTAATTAGTAAATATTTTCAACTTGTCGTAGGTAACTAAAAAGTATTTGACCTAGAGTCATGAAACCTTACAGGAATGTTGCCCAGCATGTGTAGTTGTGCACCTGGGTATTTTCGTGTGGATATTTTTAGTATTTTTAGTTATTGCCCTTGACTTAGTAAAAATTTACAAAATTTAAATTGTGTTGCACGTAACTCAAAAAGGTTATGACCTTTAGGCTTGAAAGTTTTCAAGAATGTTGGTCAGCATGTGTTCTAATGTGTTGGATTTATTCAGTATTTGTAGTATTTTCCCTTTACTAAATAAAAGATTTTTAGTTTTCAACTTGGGCACATGTACCCTAAAAATATTTTACCTAGAGACATAAGATTGACAAATCGGTGGAGTGTGGGGGCACCCGTGTCCTATGGACACATTTCTAGTTTAATTTGTAGATTGTATATACAATTTTGATTCTGTTCTAATGTAAAATTACTGTACTATTTCCACTTTGACCCTTTACCCTGCTGGACTTGAAAGTGATTAGTCTTTGCCACCAGTATAAAGCCAGGCCAACCTGTGCATCCGTGCAGACTAACCAGGCTCTAAACTTTTGTTGTTGCTTTTTTAACTTCAAATTTTCATCTTGATATCCCCAAATTTGATAATGGACGGTTCCAAATATGCAAGCTTGACAAGTCAATTTAAAGATATTCAGCAATATCGGTTGAATAATGTACAAATTGTCCAAGAGTCCTCTCTCTGTCAGTCACACATTTTAAAGCCTGTTTTCCTGGAGACTACTTTTGTTCATTTGGTATTTACCTTATTTCTCCATATGCACAAAACACATGTACTCTTAATCTCCTACTTCGTCTTAGGCACTGCCTGTCTGTAATTAGACCAAATATTGTAGCTAAAAGAAACGAAACTTAAGATAAAGTGCTTTACTTCAGATGTCCAGTACACACTGATGAAAATAAATTGAAATTTTATATTCAGATACATTTTGTTATATATTAAAAGACATAATTATATAAAATAGTTATTTTATGTTTTGCTTATTTTGTCAGCTTTGAAAATATGTGTTAACTGTATATAACAATTGTATAAAACTCAAATGAGAAGGTATACAATTTTTCAACACAGCTGTTGTTTGCTGCACATGTAACAATAACATTGGAGTTGGGTTTTTGTAAATATGGCTTATGTTAATGCTTGGGCACGGATGTTAGTATATTGGGAAAAAATTGTGAAAGCAAAACCAACTTTTAGATTTCAATATGTTTGTTATTGTTATCTCTCTCTGTTTAAACTGTTTGTCATTGTCAAACTGTTTGTAGACATTCTCTAGGCTTTCTTGCATTAATTGATTAGTTATTTATTACTGAAATTTATAGCATAATTCTGTCATGAGTTCGAATTTCCATTTAGTAACTTGCAGTGGGGGCGGTGGCATCAAGGAGCAGATAATTACATGTTTGATCAAAATGTTCTTTAATGGTGTCATTTCTCATACAAACTAAAATATCACCATTTCTCATAGGGACTTCAATGGTGCCATTTCTCATAGATACTTCAGGCAGTAGTGCCTATTTTAATGGGGACTTCAGACAGCAGTACCATTTCATATTGGGAGTTCAATAGTGCCACTTCCGGCTGTTTTAAAATTTCCAAAGGAACTTCAGGCATTAGTGCTATTTCTCATAGGAACTTCAGGCAGTAGTACAATTTCTCGTTGGGACTTCAGTAGTGCCAGCTCTCATAGGAACTTCAGACAGCAGTACTATTTCTCATTGGGACTTTAGACAGTAATATTATTTCACTAAGGGATTTCCAGTAGTGCCAATTCTCATTGGAACTTTATGCTTTAGTGCCAATTCTCATTGGGCCTTCAGACACAGTAGTGCCATTTCTCATAGGGACTTCAGATAGAAGTGTCATTTCTAATACGAATTCTAGTTGTGCCATTTCTCATAGGGACATAAATTGTGCCATTTCCAACAGATATTTCAATAGGGCCATTTCTTAAAGGGACTGCATTTTAACCAATTTTCATGTGCCATTTTTCATAAGAACTTCCGTATTGCCATTTCTTATAGTTCAATGGCACCATGTCTCATAGGGACTTCAGTAGTGCCAATTTACATAAGGACTTTAGTTGTGCCATTTCTCATAGGGACTTCAGTAGTGCCATTTTTCATAGGAACTTCAGACTGTAGGGCCATTTCTCATAGGGACTTTAGGCTGTTGTGCCATATCTCATACAGACTTCAGGCTGTACTGACATTTGTCATAGGGACTTCATACTGTAGTGTCATTTCTTATAGGGATATTAGGTTGTAGTGCCATTTTTCACAGGGACTTTATTCTGTTATGTCATGTCTCATAGGGATTTCAGGCTAAAGTGCTATTTCTGATAGGCACTTCGGGCTTTAGTGCCATATCTCATAGCTACTTCAGGCTGTAGTGCCATTTCTTATAGGGATATCAGGTTGTAGTGCCAATTTTCACAGGGACTTCAGGCTGTTATGTCATGTCTCATAGGGATTTCAGGCTATAGTGCTATTTCTGATAGGCACTTCGGGCTGTAGTGCCATCTCTCATAGCTACTTCAGGTTGTAGTGCCATTTCTTATAGGGAATTCAGACTGAAGTGTCATTTTTTATAGGGATTTCAGGCTAAAGTGCCATTTCTCATAGGTACTTAAGGCTTAAGTGCCATTTCTCATAGGGACTTCAGGTTGTAGTGCAATTTCTTATAGGGACTTCAGACTGTACCGCCATTTTCATAAGGACTTCAGACAGAAGTACCAATTTTTATATAATGACTTCGGACAGTAGTACCATTTCTCATAAGGGTTTCAGATAGAAATGCCATTTCTCATAAGGACTTCAGACAGTAGTTCCATTTCTCATAAGGACTTCAGACAAAAGTGCTATTTCCCATAGAGAGACCGGAACGTAGTGTCATTTCTCATTGGGACTTCATTTATTAATTTTTATATTAAGGTAGTTGTCATGTAGGTACATGTACCTTGTATCAGAGTAGAGTTTGATTTTTGTAGGTGATTATGGCACGTGGAAATGGTATGTGGTCTAAATCCCAATGCACTCTTTATGAATGAGATTTTAAATAAAAACACAATTGGGAGATCACCTCAAGTATTCAGTATTTAGTTAAGTACACATGCTTTTTGATATGCAGTTACCATAACTATATTTTTAAATAGATTTTATCGAAAAGAGAGTTATTCTTTCACGATAAAACTTGAAAAATTAATAACCATTTGGTCATAGCATTGTCCATACGATCTATTTTCACTAGTGGCCTAGGTACATGTTTGAGTGAAAATATTACAGTTGGTGTTCACAAAGGACATATAATTTGATCAAATAAACTGAAAAGCATGTAATATGTTTTTATACCCCCAAAAACGAAGTTTGGGGGGGTATATAGGAGTCACCCGGTGGTCGGTCGGTCAGTCGGTTGGTCGGTCGGGCGGTCGGTCGGTCGGTCCAGACGTCCGTTGCATTTTCCTTGTCCGGAGCATAACTTGAAAACTAATGGTTGGAATTCAATATAACTACATACAATGGTCAAGCACATTGAGAGGAAGTGCAGTGCACAAGAACCATAACTCTATCTTGACTAATTACAGAGTTATTGCCCTTTGTTACTTTTCCTTGTCCGGGGCATAACTTGAAAACTACTGGTTGGAATTCAAAACAACTTCATACAATTGTCAAACACAATAAGGGGAAGTGCAGTGCACAAGAACCATAACTCTATCTTAAGTAATTACAGAGTTATTGCCCTTTGTTGCTTTTCCATTGCTTTTTTTTTTGTCCGTTGCATTTTCCTTGTCCGGAGCATAACTTGAAGACTAATGGTTGGAATTCAATATAACTACATACAATGGTCAAGCACATTGAGAGGAAGTGCAGTGCGTAAGAACATAACTCTATCGTGACTAATTACAGAGTTATTGCCCCTTTGTTACTTTTCCTTGTCCGTGCATAACTTGAAAACTACTGGTTGGAATTCAAAACAACTTCATACAATTGTCAAACACAAAAAAGGGAAGTGCAAGTGCACAAAAACCATAACTCTATCTAAAGTAATTACAGAGTTATTGCCCTTTGTTGCTTTTCAATTGCCTTCTTTTTTTTGTCTGGAGCATAACTTGAAGACTAATGGTTGGAATTCAATATAACTACATACAATGGTCAAGCACATTGAGAGGAAGTGCAGTGCATAAGAACCATAACTCTATCTAAAGTAAATACAGAGTTTATTGCCCTTTATTACTTTTCCATTGCTTTCTTTTTGTCCGGACCATAACTTGAAGACTAATTGTTGAATTCATTATAACTTCATACAATGGTCCAGCACATTGAGAGGAAGTGCAGTGCACAAGAACCATAACTCCATTTTGACTTATTACAGAGTTACTGCCTTTGTTTTTTTCCTTGTCCAGAGCATGACTTTAAAACTACTGGTTGGAATTCAAAACAACTTCATACAATGGTCAAGCACAATAAGGGAAACTGCAGTGCAACAAGAACCCATAACTCCATCTTGACTAATTACAGAGTTATTGCCCTGTGTTACTTTTCCATTGCTTTCTTTTGTCCGGACAATAACTTGAAGACGTATGGTTGGAATTCATTATAACTTCATACAATGGTCAAGCACATTGAGAGGAAGTGCAGTGCATAAGAACCATAACTCCATCTTGACTAATTACAGAGTAACTGCCCTTTGTTACTTTTCCTTGTCCAGAGCATGACTTGAAAATTACTGGTTGGAATTCAAAACAACTTCATACAATGGTCAAGCACAATAAGGGGAAGTGCAGTGCACAAGAACCATAACTTCATCTTGCTAATTACAGAGTTATTGCCCTTTGTTACTTTTCTTGTCCAGAGCATAACTTGAAAACTACTGTTGGAATTCAGTACAACTTCATACAGTTGTCAAGGACATTCAAAGGAAGTGCAGTGCACAAGAGCCATAACTCCATTTTGACAAAATACAGAGTTACTGCCCTTTGATACTTTTCCTTGTCCGGAGCATAACTTAAAAAGTATGGGTTTGGGAAATTTAAAACAATTCATACAATGGTCAAACAAATAAGAGGGAATGGTGCCAAAAAACTATAAAACTATCTTCATATTTATAGAGTTTTTGCCCCTTTTTTCCCCTTTTTTTGTCTTTCTGGACTTTTACGAGTAATTTATTAAATTATCAATGGCCCAAACCCCAATTGAAAGGAAAAGCAAATACATAAAACAAATTATTTTTAAATTGCCCCCAACCATAATCTATGTTTTAAAATTTTTACAAGGGATTTTGTTACTAGAAATATCATTTCCCAAGCAGACTTTTGGGGGTATTTAAAACCCCTTTAGTGATAGTTTAGTTTTTTTACATAGGAAAATGTCACCCACTGGCCATTAAATAATATATTTTTTGTACTTTTTTGTTTTTTGTATTTTTATAAAATGATTATTTTATGTCCACAGAAAATCCAATCCTTGTTCAGTCAAAACAAGGTCAGTTGAAGTTGTCACTAGAATATGTCAAAGACACGCTACATATAATGATCATGCACGCAAAAGATCTGGTAAGTTGCATGTCTAGTGTAGTTCTGTTAATGTAGTACAGACGAACCTCTGCATATAATGTTAATCCCATCAAAAGGTGTGGCTCAATCAAACCAAGTGTGCTTACTACATGTCATTATTTGAGCCGCGTCATGACAAAACCAACATTGTGGGTTTGCAACCAGCATGGATCCAGACCAGCCTGTGCATCCGCGCAGTCTGATCAGGATCCATGCTGTTCGCTTACCAACTCTATTACAAGTAGAGAAACTGATAGCGAACAGCATGGATCCTGATCAGACTGCGCGGATGCGCAGGCTGGTCTGGATCCAGGCTGGTCGCAAACCCATTATGTTGGTTTTGTTGTGACGCGGCTCATTTTGTTATTAATATTTCCGAGGGATCACTCTTTATCTAGAATTTTAAAAGTTTTTTAGTAAATGGGAGAATTGCAAATTTCTTTAAATATATTCCATCAATACTTGTAAGTTTATTATAAGTATTATATTATGTTAAACACATGTAAAACAGCCTCCCTGGTCGAGGGGTTAGAGTCGATGACTTCTAATCCAGTTACCTCTCTGGCGTGGGTTCGATCCCCGGGGTATGCTTTGGTAGTTTAGCAAGGAGGAAGGTAGTCTAATACTGGTGTAACTCTCCAGGAACGATGGTTAGGAAACTATACATTGTTGGGAAAAGGCGTAAAATGAATCAAACAAACAAAAAAATCAACACCTGTAAAAAAAATTATTTTCTTCCCACATTTTTGTGCTCCCATTTTATTAAAATGGGCTTTATACCCCACTTGAGCTCCAATTGGACTCGTAAATCCCTATGGGAGAATGGAAAAACCCCATGGGAGACTACGCCCAGCATTTTGTTATAGTGCTGTCTTTATATAAATGGTCAATAATCGCCAATTTCATTCAATTTACTGTTTGATTCAACTTTTTGTATTGAAACTATATTAAAAAGGGTAGTTGAGTTTGCGAAAAATCCGGAGGCTGTTCTATGCAAGAACTTTTAGTTTTTCGTTATTTTACCCTACTGAAGCTCCTTTAATAGACAATTAGAGACAAATATTTCATAATATTGATATAATGTTGTTTAAAGCTTTATTGAAAAATCATTAAAACTATTTAACCTACATATTATTATTCATTTGTATATATATTGCAGCCAATGGTTGGTTCTGAGCTACCAAGTCCCTATGTGAAGACTTATCTTCTACCCGACCCAGATAAACAGACCAAGAGAAAAACCAAAGTTGTAAAAGATTCAACCCATCCAACCTACAATGAAGTGGTTAGAATAAAATTTCAATTATTTGAAAATTTCATTGTTTTAATCTTTAAGCCTTACCATGCTAAATATCTTAAATGGACTTATCCATCTTTCAATTTGGACACAATCATTCATGATTTTAGAGAAAATCCTGTAGTATGTACTGAATGAATGGTGAACAGGGTAGGCCATAATGAGATTGCACTAATGTGCTGACTAATCTTGGTCTACACTGGTTGTATTAGTAAATTCAGTCCCCGCCAGCAGGGTATGTGCATAATGTAAGTCAAATTATTCTTTCATTTATTTAATAGCTTGTTAATTTCACTGTACAAAACAACGTGAAAATTTAGTAAGGCAGATCTGAAATTTTAGGCTGGCATAATATCGATTTTCTGCAGCAAAGTTTCCATTCGGTGCATACAGGGTCACACTTCAATATCCTGGTGAAAATAATGCTTAAGTCATTCAATTTATCATAAATAGATCAAATTGAACATTCTCAGAAATAATCCTTAAGGTTGTCTTATATCATTTGACCTTGTATCTCTTGTGATCAAACATCAGTTGAGTCTGTAATATTATCTTGAAGTGTAGATAATGTTAAAATATCTGGCAACATTTGTGCATTTTTGATTTTCGTAAAGGCAGCTAACCATCTAGAGTTTTAGAATCAAGTTCTTGAAAGGGCACCGGTTTTCTATTTTAATTTGCTTGAAATATACATCGGAAGCCATTAGTCCTCCAAAAATGATGTAAGCAAATTTTGTTTTGAACTTTTGAAATTTGTTGAACATGTGAATTTAAAATCCATGAACATATGTGAATGAATTTGATCTGAATCCATGAACACATATGAATCCATTTGTTTCGAATCCATGAAAATATGTTAAGTTAGTTGTACAGAATCCTCAGGCATATGTGAAGCAATTTATCACATTTTTAGAATCAAAATACTATTGCAACTGATGCTTAGTAATAATTAATTAAGAAATGAATATAACTTTGTTTCCTTATGCAGATTGAGTACAAACTATCACAAGACGTGTTAAGACAAAAGCTGTTACAAGTTACAATCTGGGACCATGATGTGCTAAGGGAAAACCCCTTTCTTGGGGCAGTGTATGTCAGACTTAGAGACATTGACTTTACCAATACAGTATCACAATGGTATAAACTGGAGAAACTACAAATCACAGACACAAATGCATTGTAACATTTTAACTATTTGTAAACCAGACAGAAAATGCAAAATTGTGATTGGATGATTTAAATTTTGAATTTATCATTGACCAATGGCATGGTAGGATTCAAAGACTGGTCTCAAAATGTATTAATAAGACCAGTAGATCGAATCAGCATTACATTGTCTTTTTTAATATAGATTTTAGCTTTTAAAAGAAGATTTGTTAAAAGTGTTAAAGGATATTCGAGCTAGAATGTTTTAGTATAAAAGCAGTATGCCTCTAGATTCTCATTTTTATAAAAAAAATTGAAAATGTATTTTAAAAGTGAAATTTGTGAAATGAAAAAAAGAAAGTAATTTACACATCGAAACTGCACTTCCATATCTGCAAATTACCAAACTGAGGTCTAAATAGCAAAATTAGCAACATACATTTATACTGTATAAGTCGTGCAATAGAATTATGATGATAAATACTAGATAGTCAGTTATTAATCGCATAAACTTGTAAATTATTACTTAAATTTGAATCTTTGACTTTTCTCAACATCGTAGTACATTTTCCCAAGTTTCATTTTCTTGAAATATTTGGTTCATCTGGAGGCTTGCAGCTTTAAATTATATATAAGATGACTATGACTTGGCTCTTCCAAGTTGTTATTTTAGTTGAAAAAAATTATTTAGTGCCATATAACACTACAATTGTTTGATATGAATGTTAAGTATAAATATTGCAGGCAAATTTAGAAGTTATCACAAGTCAAAACCATATCAACCATGCAGCAATAAAGCAAA